CGAAAGTTTGTACGGGTTAGAAACAGCAGCGTACGTACTACTCAACTCTCCCGCTAAGCGAGAGACAAAGAATCGACGTGGATATCGGGCGAAAGACAAACGGGTAAGGCAAGGTAACCATCGGAGTCAGTTGAGCAACCTTGTGCCTCAACACCGCTACCTACAATTTCTGACGGAAAACTCATACAGGGTTGTTTGCTGCAGTCCATTCTACCTCACCCTAGGAAAAATTGTGGGTGATCCCAGACAAAAGAGGAGATTATTCAGTTGACAATAAGCTTCCAAGCGCTGATGTTTTTCTGTAGTATTTCAATGCGAAAAGGATCAAAATCCGAACTAGTGTTTGCCGGACTACAGCAGAACCATTTCAACGGTTTTGGCCATAATGACAGTGTTCAGTGGCGAGTGCTGTGACTGACAATCCCCAATACTGACATTAAGAGGAGCGTATCTCTACGTTGTTGTGAAAAAGCTGCAGAGTTCCCATGCACTACGTGGTAACTGCAAATGTCCCTCTGCAACTAGAGGACCTACTATAACTAGAGAAGGTCAACTGGTCGCTTCGGCTATCTCGGGACGTTGAACTCAAATCTGCTTCCAGAATTTGATTTTCACCGGTTATTTCTTCGTGAGGCTGGAGAGGTACCATGCTAATTGAAATCCCTCCATATCTCAACACCACAACCTACGCTTTCATACGCGGACCGTGCTTTGAAAAAATAACGTGACTTCTTTCATCTATTTGCTCTTCATTTTATGTTAATGAACGTTCTCGTGAAAACGTGCAGCAACAGTAGGAGCGTGGTTGCAGGAATTTAGGAGGTGGGACCAGAACATTAAGTGGGTGACAGGAAGTGATGGCGAGTGATAGGATCTGATAAAAGGCGTTAGAAAGTAAGGGCCACCTACGAGCATTAGGGGGTTGCATTCAACATCACATCGCGATTAGAGGACCGGATGCGGTCATCGATGGTGGGTAAGAGAAAAAGATAACAATTGCAGGGGCTGATTGAGGGTGTTGAACCCTCGAGTGCCAGGGGGTACACGCTAGCAACTCAAGAAATTTAGTGATAGCTGGTAATATCGGCCGACAAAATCGAGTAAAAGGTTGGTACAGATACCTCTGAGATATCTATTCTATAGCCTTCACCATGTGAATGCGCCCAGTAGTGCGCATCAGATAGACTGATTCATTGACATTTGCGCAGCTCACTGTTTTGTTATGGTGGCGGTAGTCAATAGCTCTGTTGAGAGCTTTGGTTTGTAATTCAAAGTGGTGATCAAAAGCTGATT